AAAAAAAAAATATATATATATGTTTCTGTTTCTTGATGGAGTTGAAAATGCCAGAGAACAAGGTAAAGTTGGAGATATAGAGAAGAGGGGAAAGTGAATCAACAGACAAGATTCCTTGAGGAGGCAGGATGGTATTGGATTTAGAATAGAGGTGTAAGGGGCTTATCCTTGGATAGAAGAAAGGAGAGTTTCTTCTGTTGAGTTTGAAGGAAGATGATGATGGATTTGAAGGTAAGTACGTTTGTATGTGAAACCGTAGGAAGTTGGTCCATTTAACAGTTACTGAATGCCTACTGTGTATTTCAGTCTGCTAGTTGAGGAATATGTAGTCTCCATCATTGAAGAAAGTTAAGGGTCAGTCTTGCAGGTTTCCAGCTACTGTGTGTGTATGTGGGGGTGGGGGGGTAGGTATTGTTTTTTATGTTGTGTTGTCTGTTTTTAAGAGACCTTACCTGTCACCCAGGCTGGAGTGTGGTGGCATGATCATAGCTTACTGCAGCCTTGATCTCCTGGGCTCAAAGGATTCTCCTGCTTCAGCTTCCTAGAGTAGCTAGGAATACAGGCATATACCACCACGAGCAGCTAGTTTTTAAATTTTTTCTACAGATGGGGTCTTGCTATGTTGCCCAGGCTGATCTTGAACTCCTGACATCAAGCAGTCTTCCCTCTTCAGCTTCCCAGAGTGATGGGATTATAGGCATGTGCTGCTGCATGCAGCCTATAATTGATTTCTTACAAATCATCCATTTTTGACAGCGAATTAGCATAAGTTCGCTCTTTTTTGTTTGTTTTTGAGACAGAGTCTTGTTCTGTCGCCCAGGCTGGAGTGCAGTGGTGTGATCTTGGCTCACTGCAATCTCCACCTCTCAGGTTCAAGAAATTATCCTGTCTCAGCCTCCCAAGTAGTTGGGATTACAGGCGCCCGCTACCACACCCAGCTAATTTTTTTGTATTTTTAGTAGAGACAGGGTTTCACCATGTTGGCCAGGCCTGTTTTGAACTCCTGACCTCAAGTAATCTGCCCGCCTTGGCCTCCCAAAGTGCTAGGATTACAGGTGAGAGTCACTGCGCCTGGCCTACTCTTTGTTCTTGTTTTTTTCTTTTGAGACGGAGTTTTGCTTTCCTTGCCCAGACTGGAGTGGAGTGGTGTGATCTTGGCTCAGTACAACCTCCACCTTATGGTTTCAAGCGATTCTATTGCCTCAGCCTCGCGAGTAGCTGGAATTACAGGCGCCCGCCACTATGCCCAGCTAAGTTTTGTATTTTTAGTAGAGATGGGGTTTCACAATGTTGGCCAGGCTGGTCTTAAACTCCTTACCTTGTGATCTGCCTGACTCGGCCTCCCAAAGTGCTGGGATTACAGGTGTGAGCCACCGTGCCCGGCTCTTTGTTGCTTTTAAAAATTGGGGCAACCCTTGCCCCAATTTTTGTCTTTCTTAATCTCTCATGGTTTCTCAATTATAAAGAATGATTTTGGCCAGGTGCGGTGGCTCACACCTGTAATCCCAGCACTTTGGGAGGCCGAGGCGGGCGGATCATGAGATCAGGAGATCGAGACCATCCTGGCTAACACATTGAAACCCTGTCTCTACTAAAAATACAAAAAATTAGCCGGGCGTGGTGGCGGGCACCTGTAGTCCCAGCTACTGGGGAGGCTGAGGCAGGAGAATCGCTGGAACCCGGGAGGCGGAGCTTGCAGTGAGCCGAGATCGTGCCCCTGCACTCCAGCCCGGGCGACAGAGCGACTCCGACTTAGGAAAAAAAAATGGTTTTGAGATGTCATCTATCAATAAAAGGACTTTTAAGTTACTTAGGATGTAATTTTTCTTGTGCTGAAGGAGTAAATTCAGTCATAAAAACTAGATACTTTCTTAACTACTCTGGTTCCTTGAAAGAGATCATAGTTCTCTGTCACGTGATCAGTGTAGTTCTCTGTCACGTGATCAGTGTAGTTCTCTGTCGTGTGATCAGCGTAGTTCTCTGTCGTGTGATCGGTGTAGTTCTCTGTCGTGTGATCAGCGTAGTTCTCTGTCGTGTGATCAGTGTAGTTCTCTGTCGTGTGATCGGTGTAGTTCTCTGTCGTGTGATCGGTGTAGTTCTCTGTCGTGTGATCGGTGTAGTTCTCTGTCGCGTGATAAGCGTAGTTCTCTGTCGTGTGATCGGTGTAGTTCTCTGTCGTGTGATCAGCGTAGTTCTCTGTCGTGTGATCGGTGTAGTTCTCTGTCGTGTGATCGGTGTAGTTCTCTGTCGTGTGATCAGCGTAGTTCTCTGTCGTGTGATCAGTGTAGTTCTCTGTCGTGTGATCGGTGTAGTTCTCTGTAGAGTGATCGGGTGTAGTTCTCTGTCGTGTGATCGGTGTAGTTCTCTGTCGCGTGATAGCGTAGTTCTCTGTCGTGTGATCGGTGTGATTCTCTGTCGTGTGATAAGCGTAGTTCTCTGTCGTGTGATCGGTGTAGTTCTCTGTCGTGTGATCGGCGTAGTTCTCTGTCGTGTGATCGGTGTAGTTCTCTGTCGTGTGATCAGCGTAGTTCTCTGTCGTGTGATCGGTGTAGTTCTCTGTCGTGTGATCGGTGTATAGTTCTCTGTGTGTGATCGGTGTAGTTCTCTGTCGGCGTGATAAGCGTAGTTCTCTGTCGTGTGATGTAGTTGCTTGATTCTCTGTCGTGTGATAGCGTAGTTCTCTATGCATTGTGATCGGTGCTTAGAGTTCTCTGTCGTGATAGCGTAGTTCTCTGTCGTGTGATCGGTGTAGTTCTCTGTCGTGTGATAAGCGTAGTTCTCTGTCGTGTGATCGGTGTAGTTCTCTGTCGTGTGATCAGCGTAGTTCTCTGTCGTGTGATCGGTGTAGTTCTCTGTCGTGTGATCGGTGTAGTTCTCTGTCGTGTGATCAGCGTAGTTCTCTGTCGTGTGATCAGTGTAGTTCTCTGTCGTGTGATCGGTGTAGTTCTCTGTCGTGTGATGGTGTAGTTCTCTGTCGCGTGATAAAGCGTAGTTCTCTGTCGTGTGATCGGTGTAGTTCTCTATGCGTGCTTCGATAAAGCGTAGTTCTCTGTCGTGTGATCGGTGTAGTTCTCTGTCGTGTGATAAGCGTAGTTCTCTGTCGTGTGATCGGTGCTCAGTTCTCTGTCGTGTGATCCAGCGTAGTTCTCTGTGCGTGTGATCGGTGTAGTTCTCTGTCGTGTGATCGGTGTAGTTCTCTGTCGTGTGATCAGCGTAGTTCTCTGTCGTGTGATCAGTGTAGTTCTCTGTCGTGTGATCGGTGTAGTTCTCTGTCGTGTGATCGGTGTAGTTCTCTGTCGCGTGATAAGCGTAGTTCTCTGTCGTGTGATCGGTGTAGTTCTCTGTCGCGTGATAGCGTAGTTCTCTGTACGTGTGATGGTGTAGTTCTCTGTCGTGTGATCAGCGTAGTTCTCTGTCGTGTGATCGGTGTAGTTCTCATCGTGTGATCGGTGTAGTTCTCTATCGTGTGATCGGTGTAGTTCTCTCTATCACGTGATAAAGTGTAGTTCTCTGTAGTGTGATCAAGCGTAGTTCTCTGTCGGCGTGATAAGCGTAGTTCTCTGTCGTGTGATCGGTGTAGTTCTCTGTCGTGTGATCAGTGTAGTTCTCTGTCGCGTGATCAGCGTAGTTCTCTGTCGTGTGATCGGTGTAGTTCTCTGTCGTGTGATCAGTGTAGTTCTCTGTCGTGTGATCGGTGTAGTTCTCTGTCGTGTGATCAGTGTAGTTCTCTGTCGTGTGATCGGTGTAGTTCTCTGTCCACGTGATAGCGTAGTTCTCTGTCGTGTGATCAGTGTAGTTCTCTGTCGCGTGATCAGTGTAGTTCTCTGTCGTGTGATCCAGGCGTAGTTCTCTGTCGCGTGATAGCGTAGTTCTCTGTCGTGTGATCAGCGTAGTTCTCTGTCGTGTGATCGGTGTAGTTCTCTGTCGTGTGATCAGTGTAGTTCTCTGTCGTGTGATCAGTGTAGTTCTCTGTCGTGTGATCGGTGTAGTTCTCTTGTCACGTGATGGCGTAGTTCTCTGTCGTGTGATCAGGCGTAGTTCTCTGTCGTGTGATCAGTGCTTAGCCAGTTCTCTGTCGTGTGATCAGGTGTAGTTCTCTGTCGTGTGATCAGTGTAGTTCTCTGTCGTGTGATCAGTGTAGTTCTCTGTCGTGTGATCGGTGTAGTTCTCTGTCCACGTGATGGCGTAGTTCTCTGTCGTGTGATCAGTGTAGTCAGTCCTTTGTGTAGTCAGTCCTTTGTCATGCGGCACTATTGCCTTCTCTACCCTTCTCTGCTCCATGCCCAATTAAAAAGTCATTTATATTGTCTTTGGCAAACTTTAAGAAATTCTTAGTTTCTTATTAATTTTAGGTTTTAGATGGGTATTTTTAATGGTCTCTTTGTGGTCAGGATCAGTCAGTAAACAATTCAGAGCATCAGGTGATTTAGGATTGAGGAGCAGTCCTTCACATTCCAACCTGTAGGTGTACCGCAGGGGTTCTCAGCTGGGTTGCCCCTCAGGTGGTCTTTGGCAATATGTGGAGACATTTTTGATTGTCACCAGTGGGGGGTTGAGTGAAGCTGCTACTGGCAGCTAGTGAGTGGGGGTCAGCGAGATTGCTAAGTTTCCTACAGTACACAGGACGGCACCCCTACAGCAGATAATTATCTGGCCTAAAATGTTGGAAGAGCCCAGGTCGAGAAATCCTGGTGTACAGTAACTAATATTTGAACACTTTTGTGAGCTACTATGTTTAACTGCATTATCTAATTTAGAATACAGAATTCCCCTGTGAGATAAGTAGTATCACTTTTTGCCCTAGAGGCCCTGGTCATTTTTGAAGAAGGAGGATACAAACTTTGGACTCATTTGTATAGGAAATTTTTAATACAAAACTATTCAGGATACAAGTTTTTTATTTTTAGACTTTCTTTGGTCTTACCTTTTTTTTTTTGTTTGTTTGTGATTTTTGCAGGGACAAATATTTTTAAACACATAATTCTTTTTTAATATTTCAGATCTAGAAATGGCCATTGCCTACTGGAACTTAGTGCTTAATGGAAGATTTAAATTCTTAGACTTATGGAATAAATTTTTGTTGGTAAGTTCACATTTTCTGCATTTCTCTCTATTTTCTCTAAAATTCTGCTATGTTTAAAGATAAATTAACATAATGTATTGAATATAGAATGAGAAATTTGATTACCAGAATTTTGTTACACAGTTGTTTTGCATTCTTGTATTTAAAATTTTCCAGACTGTTTTTGTCCAGCTCATTTTAGTGATACAAATGTATTTTGTTTTTGGTTTTTAAATAGGAACATCATAAACGATCAATACCAAAAGACACTTGGAATCTTCTTTTAGACTTCAGTACAATGATTGCAGATGACATGTCTAATTATGATGAAGAAGGTAATGAAATTTTTTTCCACACCAATTTTTTTTGACCTGTCTTTTTATCACACACCCCTGAACTTCTTCAGTACTTTTGTTTTTCTCGGAGTTGGAATTCCCTCCTCTGAGCTTTTATTACGATTTTTTTTTTGAGATAGAGTCTCACTCTGTTGCCCAGGGTGGGTGCACTGGTGCGAGCATGGCTTATTGCAAGTCTTCAAACTCCTGGGCTCAGCAGTCCTCCTGCCTCAGCCTCCCAAGTAGCTAGGACTACAGGCATGTGCCACAATGCCTGACTAATTTCTTAATGTTTTATAGAAGTAGGGGTCTTACTGTCTTGTACTCCTGGCCTCAAGCAGTCCTCCTGCCTTGGCCTCCCAAAGTGTTGGGATTATAGGCATGAGCCACTGTGCCCAGCTCCAAGCTTTTTTTAATGCTCTTCTGAATGTATGAAATACCTTCATATATTTACCAATCTATATTTTTCTGTTTCCTTCAATTCCAACTCAGCATTCATGTCTTCCAGAAAGGCATGAGTAATTTTTATCCATGTTTTAGGTTTTCAGTTTACTTTAGGAACCTTTTTACTTGATGTGCTTTTGTACCTATTTGTATCTCTTTTTCATCTGTTAGTCTTCTTTGTAAGCTTGATTGTAAACTCCTTAAGTTCAGTGACTTTTTTTTTTTTTTGAGATGGAGTCTTGCTCTGTTGCCCAGGCTGGAGTGCAGTGGCGCAGTCTCAGCTCACTGCAACCTATGCCTTCTGGGTTCAAGCGATTCTCCTGCCTCAGCTTCCCAAGTAGCTGGGATTACAGGTGCCTGCCACTACACCCAGCTAATTTTTTGTATTTTTAGTAGAGATAGGGTTTCACCATGTTGGCCAGGCTGGTGTCAAACTGCTGACCTTGTTGTCCACCCGCCTCGGTCTCCCAAAGTGCTGGGATTACACGCATGAGCCACTGCGCCCGGCCTATTTTTTTTTTGAAACTTACTTCAACTGCATAATATAGTACTGTTGGCATTCAGTAAATAGTCACTGAATCCTTTTCTGCTATTTCTTCATAAATGTATAAAGATGGCGCTACCATCCACTACTAGGATGTGGACTTGTATTTTTCTATATGTGGCAGTGATTTACATTGATTTCTTCATACATATTTCCCTAGTCCACTTGAGAACTGGCAGGATGCAGGATGGAGATTTTTTTTGAAAAACCCCCTGTGATCTTGGTGTCTTTAAAAGTGTCCTGGAATCATTAAGGCTAATCAGGGATGATGTTATTTCTTTTCTTCATTTTCATTGTCGTTTATAATCTTCCCTCCAAAGTGAGAAATGTTTAATCATGCGTGTACCTAATAATTGTGTCTTCTGTTACGTTTTACACAAAAATGGAGAGCTTTCTGAGTTGGAGATGGGCATGTGAATGTGTAGAGGCATGCATATATTGAATTTTACACCTTTTAGTAATGTATTAGCATGAAATAGGATGGAATTTGACACTTCCTGTTAATTTCCTTTGTGAGATGGCCACAGAATGCTTGAAAACTGTTTCTCCTCCTATGCCTTCAGCACTGGCAGCATGCTATCATATCATAGCCCCTCCTTAGGCTGCCGTGTTTTTTTTTTTTTTTTTTTGAGAGGGAGTCTTGCTTTGTTGCCCAGGCTGGAGTGCAGTCGCGCGATCTTGACTCACTGTAAGCTCCGCCTCCCGGGTTCACGCCATTCTCCTGCTTCACGCTGCCAGTTTTGACCAAATTACTTCCATTGCCTGACTGCAGTGGCCTTCAGAAAATCATATTATTGATTAGTTACCAGACAAGTTATTTTTATCACTCAAGGAACAACCAAATGTTGGGAGTAATCACAAGGAATACAAGGAATATTTGGGGTAAAAACTCCAAAAAGTTTGATTTTGAAAGACTTAATCAGTGGGAATAGATAAGAATGATATACTTTAACACTTATGAGGAAGTCTTAAAAAAAGGATTCTGCTGAAATATTAGTCTTATTTCTTCTTTTTCTCCCTTCTCTTTCTTTCATATTTTTTCTTTTTTCCAGGAGCATGGCCTGTTCTTATTGATGACTTTGTGGAATTTGCACGCCCTCAAATTGCTGGGACAAAAAGTACAACAGTGTAGCACTAAAGGAACCTTCTAGAATGTACATAGTCTGTACAATAAATACAACAGAAAATTGCACAGTCAATTTCTGCTGGCTGGACTGAACTGAAGATCAATCCTCACAATTCAGACTGAGGGTTGAGACAAAACTTTAAGGATACATCTTGGACCATATCGTATTTCATTCTTCTAATGGTGGTTTGGGCTTGTCTTCTAGTCTGGGCCGCTCTAAACATTTATAATTCCAACATTGTGGATTTCATCTTATATCTGTGGACCATCCTAGTTTATTCTCCCATAAGTCTTAGAAGCTTTATGGTGATTATTTTGAGGTTTTCATTCTCGCATAAAGCACAATGCTGTCTTCATCAGAAAACAGTTGGCGTAAGAATTAAGCATATGAACATCACAAAACAATTTATAAAAACTTCTTAAATATACGCTTTGGGCTAGTTGCAAAGACTATGCTAATAGCACTTCCAATGAGAGTGATATATTTAAGTGTACTGGATCTGGAATGGTGTTTTGGTTTGGGGGGAATTTTTTTTTTCCTGGCAAATCACATGTGTTGTTGATGTGAGTATCTGATGAAAAAACAATGTCAGAATAACCAACATGAAAATTTTTTAGGATAACTTGGTGCCTACCTGAAAAATGTATTGTGTTTTAGACTCTTGATTTCAAAAGGTTCCACAGAACTTGTCTGCGCTTACCTTACCCATGTTTATATATAGCTGTCCTACAGGGAGCTTTTATTTAGAAAATGTCTGCATAATGTTAGATTCTTCTCCTGTCTACATTATGCACTACATAATTGGACTTCATTATGCTTTTGAAATGCTTATCTGCCTGTCACATAAGTTAAACTATTTAATTTGTTTTGAATGTTTTGGATTGCTACACAATACAATATTCTAAATTTAGGCATGAGGGTTTTTTGTTTTGTTTTTACTTTTTTTTTTGTCATCGCACTATGGAACACAAATGAAATTCTCTTAATTTATAAGAAGATAGTTGCAGTTAAATTTTGAAAATGGTTGTAATGAGCCATGAAGTTCAATCTTTATAATATAGGTACTGCTCTTTCAGACAAATAGTCCATTTTCGATGACTTATTATTTTGTTGAAATTGCTTTAACTGCTATAATCACTGTGGTTGCCAAATACTTACTTCAGGAGCGAAGATTTTCAAACAAGCATACACGATGCAAAATACCAATCTGGCTTCTAGTCTCTCTACTGTTTTTGTTTCACTCAGATTAGCTCAGTTTTCTCATCAAAGCAGAATGCTATCTTGTATGTATTTTTTTCATTACAAGACCCATGAGCTGCTTTTATGCTGAAAATGGTCATTTCCCTGTTCCCTTACTGACATGTGAAGAAGGGTTTCTTGCTTTCTTAAACATTTCTGTAAGGCAGGCTAGAAATGTAAACCTCAAATGTCAGATGATTATGGTCTTTTGATAGGAATACATTCTGCTTGGGATATACATCCAGGCACTCTCTAAGGTTTTAGGGTTGATATTAACAAAGGAATGTACTTTAGAATAGCAGTACATTTTATGCAAATATGGAAATTATTTTAAGAAACAATGACATATCAAAACTGCTTTTTATTTACATGATTTTGAAATAGACTAGAAAGCTTTCCCTATAAACATATTAATATTCCAATCATAACTTTAATTCAAGAATGCAGTTTTACCAAAAGAAAAATTTGAAATTTCTATTCAGGCTACTGTAATTGGTTATTAAAAGAAAAAGGAAAAAGAATCCTGCTGCTTTCAGTATTTCCTGATTTCATTTTTTGTAAATATAAAGAACTTCAATTATGAAAAATTTTTAAAAGATATATATATCTATATATCTATATATATGTACTGTTTTGTTTCCTGTCTTGAAGATTTTGAGTTATGGTTATTGGTTTCACATTGATTAATTCACATATGCTGTGTTTTGAAATGAGATCCCATTAGCTTTTTTTTTTTTTTCCCAATATAAAGTGTTTTCTTTAAAAGTCTGATATTGGTTTGTGGCCTAGTGCCTTGGATTTTACATATTTTTCTTTTTAATTGCAAAACCTTTTCAACAAAATAGTGTTTGTCATCAGGTTGGTACTAAACATTTATAATTACTGTGTAATTATAAACAAAAATACATAAAGCTTTGAATATAATTATGTAGCATAAAAGTTAAGGTTGTTCACTATGATGGCATCTTAGAATTAAAACTTTTACTAGGGCTGAAAAGAGAAGACTGATTTAATGTGGTGTGATTATTCTGAAGATAAATGTCTGGTTACAGGGAATATTTTGTACTAAAAAATGATGACACATATGGCTGTGTGTGTTTGAGTCTGTGTCTGCGAGAGAGCCAGAGAGAGAGAGAGAGATTGACAGAGGAAGGGAGAGAGACACACACACCCCTTGAATTGCTTTAACTCCTAAGCGTTTCAGTCCTCATTCCGGTAAACTCCCCATGCTGATTCTTTGTTTTAAACTGAACCATAGGTGCAGTTTCCTTTTTGCCAAATGTCAAAACAGGTACACATTTTACAATGTAATGCTTTTTAAATAGAAAAATGTATAAAATTAGAAGTGCCCACATATAAAAAATACTTGAGATGAAGATTATCTTTAGTGAATATCATCTGCATATCTCTGTAAGTTCGATTGTGTTTCTTACAGTCCCTGTTATATTACCAACAGAGGCAATAAAAGCTTCAGTGAAATTGCCATGACTAAATCTTTTCACATATTTCAGTGTATTTTTTTAATAGATTTAAAATATCCCTGAAAACTTTTCCAGGAAGAATAATTATTCATGGAAAGAGCATTGTAATGGCATGTTTTGGGGAGAAAAGACATGTCAAGTCTTGTTTACTACATTTAAAATGTTTACAACGATACTGGGCTGCTTTATTAACAATACTGTACTTGTGTAATATGGCATTATAAGTACATGTCCTTCCTTAGACTTTTAAAAGTTTTAGCGAGAGAAAGTAAATTTACTCAACAAAATAACATGAGAAATCTTTTACATAAGATCTTTACTGAGGAATTCTTATTTAAGCAAGGTACACTATTTTTTCCTCAGACTTGAATGAAGTGTCTATTTTTTATTTGATGATAAGAAGTGAGTAGTAGTAGCTAACTTAATGTACACTTTGCTTAGGTTTTTAAACATGTTACTGTTAAGACTACGTATTGTAAACCTTCTGTAATTTTCACATATGAATGACAGGAGAAAGTTAAACCTAATCGAAGGAGTTTTGGAATAAAAAGAAAGTGGTGCTGGGGAAATTTACCATGGTTCACAAAGTATGCCTTTGTAAAACTGAATCAACTTTTAGCAAGAATTAATTTATGTAGTTCTAAATGTTAAATTGTGTATATTTAACAGAAAATACTTATCTGGCACCTCAGTAGTTTTCTTTAAATGTTACCTTTTAACAATATGATTTATATTGAATACTTAGATGTTTTCATAAGATTTTATCAAATTTGATAATGTAATGATAAAATGTTTTTTAAATGTGAACTATTTAACGTATAAATGAGGACACAAAACCTGAATTGTGATTTCTACATAATGTGATAATTAGGGTTCAAATTATGACTCATCATTTAATTGATTATAAATGAGTATATTTCTGAACTCTTTATTGCCTCCATTTTTACAGTCATAATATAGCAATAATTTCTATTTTTATTTCATAGAACTGTGGTGAAGTTATTTATCATGACACCTTTATCTTTGATTTCTGAGGGAAAGGGGTGTGTATTTTGTAATTAAGATAAATGAGAAAATTCCTAATAGTACAAATGCCCTTTTCCAGGTTTATCTTTGCTAATTTGTTGCCATTTTTCTTAAATATTTGCTTTATTTGTACCTGATTTCTGGAGGCAAATAGTGCTATTTTTTCAAACTCATAATACAGTTACATAAATGATTTTATCAGAGCATTCTTGCTATCTCATTTTCTTTCCTACCTGTTAGTAAGTAGCATTTCTTGCTCACCAGCTCATTTATTTGACAACTTTCCACTAGGTTCAATGTTTCTTATTAATGTGTTTTTTAATTTTCCTTTGGTTAATTTTTAAAAATCTGTCACAAATAAGGAAGTTATGATGAAAGATGCACAGCTGGCCGGGCGCGGTGGCTCAAGCCTGTGATCCCAGCACTTTGGGAGGCCGAGACGGGTGGATCACGAGGTCAGGAGATCGAGACCATCCTGGCTAACCTGGTGAAACCCCATCTCTACTAAAAAATACAAAAAACTAGCCGGGCGCGGTGGCGAGCGCCTGTAGTCCCAGCTACTTGGGAGGCTGAGGCAGGAGAATGGTGTAAACCCGGGAGGCGGAGCTTGCAGCGAGCTGAGATGGGGCCACTGCACTCCAGCCTGGGTGACAGAGCGAGACTCCGCCTCAAAAAAAAAAAAAAAAAAAAAGAAAGATGCACAGCTTTTGTAGTTAGTGGAATTCTTAATAAGTAATGTCTTTATGGAGTTTTAAAGGGAAATTATTTAAAGGGAATCATGTTATAGTTGTCCATTTTTTAAATTGAGATTTGAAGTGTTTTTAAGTATAGCCCCAGTTTCTATTTACTTACAAGTACTTCATGATTGTTTTCAGTTTAAGTTTTTGCCGTTGTGCTGTGCAGAAGTCATAATGTAGTTTGTAATACTTTCGAGCATGGTCTTGAAGCTATAACTTGGGGTTGCTGTCCTTCATGAGGTAGGGCCACAGCAGGCAGGCCCCTTCCCACTTCCTTTGTGGTGTTCGACTTTTATCTGTTGTAGGCTGTTAGTGTTTCATATTTGATTTGGTTTGGGGAAAAATAGTTAAAAAAAATTTTTTTTTAATGATTGGCTTTAGGGGGACTATTACCTCTTTGGCATATCTGTCAGAGGAATGGAAAGAAATGGAGTCTGACTAAAAATCATGCCAGCTTGGTCACTGAAGGCAGCACTGCTTTGAAAAGAAGAATTTTGAACCCACGTCGTAAAAGCAAAGCCTGATTGGAAACAGTGAAGTGTTTGAAACTTAGGGGCATCATGTAAGTGGCTTAATGAGCAAACAAACTAAAAGGAACATATTCCTTTTATATTTAAAAAGTATATATGTATTCAAATACATGTTCATATGAATATTACAATTTTATTTCCGGTTATGAAATATTCTGAGAAAACCTTATATCTGATGGAAAACTTGGGCAATAGCCAATAGCAAGCAAGAGATTCTTACAAAAAGAAATACCATAGGGTACAAGGTTGGGGGAAGACAAATTAATGAAATGGCTAAGGGACAATGCTAATTCAATCGTTAACAGTGATTTTGTCACATGACTTATAGCTAAAAGAGCAATGTTTAATCAGTAAGATTTAGAGATGGGTGTACTTGGAATCCTTTGAAAGTAGTGTGTTTAGTTTTCAAGCAAATGCTAATATTCTTAATCCTAATAGTATATTAGACTTTGTTGTGTTGAATATATCAAATGAATGAGCCTTGAGCCAGAGCTTTAAAATAGTGATTTCTAAGACTTTGTTACAATGGTACTTAAAAAATTGCTTTGTATAATTTACACACTGTAAAATTCACCGATTGTAAATGTACAATTAATTGGTTTTAGTAAACTTAGGAATTGTACAATCCAGTTTTAGAACATTTCCATCAGCCCCCAAAATTTACTCATGCTGCTCTGCAGTTAATTCACTCCTACTTCCAGCCCCAGGCAGCCACACTGATCTGCTTTCTGTACAGATTTACCCTTTCTAGAAATTTCACAGAGTTAGAATCATGCAGTTAGTCTTTTATATCTGGCATCTTTCACTTAGCATGTTTTTGAGGTTCATCCATGTTGTAGCTTACACCTGCGTGTAGTTCCTTTAGTTGCTGATTTAGTGTTCACTGTTTGGATATACAACATTTTGTTTATCCATTCACCAGTTGATAGACATTTGACTGGCCTACAATTATTATTTTTTTAAAATTGTGAATAACAATGCTATGAAGATTCATAAATACGTCTTTGTGTGGACATGTTTTCATCTCAGATTCCTAGTTGTGAAATTGTCAGGTTGTGTGGTAAATTTATATTTAACGTTTTAAAAAAGTGCTAAACTTTTTCCAAACTGACTGTACTTTTAGAACCATTCCTGCCACGGTGCATGCAGGCTGCAGTGTCTCCACATCCTTGCCAATACTTGTCGTCTTTCTGATGCAGCCATTCTGGTGGGTGTATATTTTATGTGTGTAAGTTACGCCTAGGCATCCCAACTCATGTATTGATTGGATGTGCAATTTGAGTGAGTTTCACGTGGCCCGAGGGATTGCTGTAAAATTAGTTACTGTAGACACGTACTCTCTTGAAGGCAGTATTTTCTGTAGTCAGTGAGGGTAGTAATAATACTTCTGATGGGGGTTCCAGTCCCTCAGTGATCTCTGGTGAGAAGAAATGTGTCAGTGAAGAGTGGTGCTGATGACTGGTGCTTTTGCTCTGTTATTGTTTGTACCATGCTTGATACAGCTGCTCGACTAGCCTGTGACTGGTGGTGGTAATTAAATTTTATACACATTACTGTGTGCAGATAGTTACTGTCTTAATATTAGGTTTCCCAGAGATTTTACTTTTGAGATAACTGAGAATTAATGACTCTTTGAATTTATAAAAATTTAGTTGATACCGTTTAGTTGCTGCCAGCCGCCTGTGTTCTTATACCTCGGAGACATTGGAGTGAGCGCTTTTTTAAAATTTTAATGGGGTATGTAAGATACATGTAAAAGGAGAATTGCGTAATGAACTCATTTTAACATGATCGGTTCATTCTTGAGTTATCTAAATGCCATTCATCTTTGAACCCCTATTTATTTTGAAGCAAATCCCAGATAGCGAATCATTTCATTTGTAAATATTTCAATATGTGTGTCGTGTGTCTAAAAGATAAGGACTGTTAAATAAAACCACAATTCTGTTATCAGACTTAACTGTTAACAGTTTGTTAGTGTTAATAACTATCCAGCAGTGTTCAAGTTGTGCCCTTTTTTTTTTTTTCTAATTCAAGTCAGGATTCAAATATTTCTACATTACATAGATCTCAAATGTCCTACCCAGTGGATCCCCACACTCTCCACTCTGGCTTCAAATTCATTTATTTGAAAAAACTGATTGCTTTAGCACTTTAAATTTCTATGCAGTTTTCAAATTTAAGGTGAAATTTTGATGTACTTAATAAAAAATATATTCTAACTTGAATATATTTTTAAAGTTAATGTCGTATATAAGAAGTTATTATATCAACAGATTTTCCTATAACTTAAAAATACACTGTGACTTGTATCCAGAACTCCTGCAACTTAATGAAAAAACAACCCAATTTATAATTGAGCCAAGGATTTGAATGGACATTTATCCAAAGAAGATATACAAATGGCCACTAAGGATGTGAAAAGATGCTTAATATCATTAGCCATTAGGGAAATGTAAATCAAAACCACAATGAGATAACACTTCATGCCCACTAGGATTGCTTTAATCAGAAACATAAACAGTAACAAGTGTTGCTGAGGATGTGGAGCCACTGGAACATCTGTAAGTTGCTGATAGGACTGCAAACTGGTGGTGCTGCTTTGAGAAACGGTTTGGCCATTCCTCATTTAATAGTTAGAGGATATGACCGACAAATCTCGTAGATATATACTCAAGAGGATTGGAAACATGTTCATATAAAAATTTGTGTGTATTTACAGCATTATTTGTAATTGTTAAAAATTGTAAAACCCAAATGTCCATTAACTCATGACTGGATAAGCACAATCTTAATAGTCATTCAGTGGAATAATACTTGGCAGTAAAAGGAATGAGGGAAGTACTGATACATGCTGCAACATGCATGAATCTTGAACACATTATACTCAGTTAAAGAAGCCAGTCACAGAAGTGCACACATTGTACTAATCCATTTGTATGACATGTCCAGAATAGGCAAATCTATAGAGAAAAAGATTAGCGGTTGCCAGGGGCTAGGGTTGGAAGTGGAGAATACAAAGTGAGAACTAATAGATACAAATTTCTTTTTGGAATGACGAAAATGTTCTAGAATTAGATAGTGGTGATGATTGCACTACTTTGTGAATATACTAAAAATTTTAGGCTTTAAGACAGTCTTACGGCATATTAATTTACATATCCATAGTGATTTTTAAAAATATAAGCATGCATATCTAAAGACAGTACAATGGAACTTCATAATCCATTCTTTGAAAGCATCAGGATAATGCATAGTTCCCCATTTTATCTGATTTTGGAGAGAGAACTGATTACACATAGGATTGTTGCATTTCTGTTTCATACACATGTAGCTGTACATTTTCCCTCTTCAAAATTTCCCTCTTTAAAAACAGGAAACCCTGCACCTTCTAATAATTTTTGATGAGTGGAACTTGGTAAAAACCTGAAATAGAAAATCCAGCTAATAACACTGAAGATAAAAGTATACTTCTACTTCTGTCATATCTGGAAGGAGTGTGTAGGGAATATATTTTCAGTGGTTTTTGAAAGTAGTTTAAAGCCTAGCAGACCGTAACTTTGCAATGTTTTCTTACTAGCAGGAGTGTGTGAAGGGGCTGCTCTGCATAGCATTCATGTCTGAGAGATTT